TTTCTTTGATTCGGATCATAGAGCTATTCTGGTGGCAAATGGTGATGAGGCTAGGCCTAGGGATTACTCTAGAAGCTTCAGATTTCTTGCAGCTTGGCTCACTGTCCCAGAGTTCGGTAATCTGGTCAAGGATAGTTGGGAGAATAATGAGGGGTGAATCCCAGCTAGGAACAAGTTTGAGACTGTAGCTAAAAACTGGCACCAGAATGTTTTTAGGAAGAACATGATTCAGAAAAACAGAATTTATTCTCGGTTGAAGGGGTTGGAGAGTTACAGAGCTGGTTATTATGATCATAACTTGGAGATTCTTCAAAAATCTCTTTGGAAGGAGCTGCAATCTATTCTTCTTTGTGAGGAATTGACTTGGTTCCAAAGGTCTCGAATTCAATGGTTAAAATATGGTGATAAAAACTCTAAGTTTTTTCACTCTTCCACAGTGGCAAGGAGAAGATTTAATAGCATTGTTGCTCTTCAGAATGACCAGGGGAGGTGGATCACTGATTCTGATGAGCTTGTCCATATGCTATCTCCTACTATCAGGATCTGTTTAGAATGGATGAGGAGTGTGATGGTTCTTTCCCTATTCAGCATATGTTCCCTGTCTTGTCTGATGGAGACAAAGCAGCTTTGTCTATTATTCCTAGTAAGGAAGAAATAAGGAAGACTATTTTTAAGATGGGCAAATTTAAAGAATGAGAAATTTGATGCCTAGAATTGTTTCTCCAAACCAGTGTAGCTTCATAAAAGGGAGGCAAGGTACTGATAATATCATCATAGCTCAGGAAGTCATCCATTCCATGCGTAGTAGAAAAGGAAACAAAGGATGGATGATGATCAAAGTGGATTTAGAAAAGGCCTATGATAGGCTTAGTTAGAAGTTTGTGTTGGATACTTTGAAGGATGCTGGGTTCCCTGAGTCTACCTCTTAGTTAATCCTCAGTTGTATATCCACTTCTTCCTTAAGCCTTTTATGGAATGGAGTAGCTACAAGTAAGTTCTTACCTGGCATAGGTATAAGGCAAGGGGATCCTATTTCCCCTTATCTCTTTGTTTTGTGTATTGAGAGACTCTCCCATCTCATTAATATGGCAGTGGATATTGGTGCTTGGAAGCCTATTATCCTGAGAAAGGGTGCTCCTCCTATTTCACATTTGCTTTTTGCTGATGATCTAATTATCTGTGCTGAAGCTAGCATTGAACAAGCTCATGTGATTAACCAGGTCTTAAAGTTATTCACTGAAGCTTCTGGCCAGAAAGTTAGTAGTGAAAAGACTCGGGTGTTTTTCTCCAAAAATGTCCATGTTAGTAGATCCAGTGAGATTAGTGAGTCCTTGGGAGTTGGGATCACTGTTGATTTGGGCAAGTACCTAGGGGTACCTCTCCATCATAAAAGAGTTACTAAGAATTCTTTTAAATTTGTCCTGGATAGGGTTCACAGAAGATTGTCCAGCTCGAACCAGTCTTCCCTTTCCCTTGCTGGGAGATCTGTTCTTGCAAAAGCTGTTCTGGAAGCCTTACCTTCCTATGCTATGCAGTCAGCTGTTGTTCCCAGTGGCATATGTTCTGAGATTGAGAAATTAACTAGGAGTTTTATTTGGGGCTCTACTAAGGAGCATAGGAAGACCCATTTGGTGAGCTGGAAGAAGATTTGTAGACCAAAAAAAGAAGGTAGTCTGGGCTTCAGAGAGCAGAACCAAGTTAACAAGGCTTTCTCTATGAAGTTGGGGTTTGGTTTGCTAGCTAACAGGGATGATCTTTGGACCAAGGTACTGTGCAGCAAATATAAAGTGGGGGATGATCTTATGCCCAGATTAAATTGTTGTAGGAATGTCTCTAATACTTAGAGGGGCATACAAAATTCCTGGGAGGTAGTCAAGGAAGGTACTAGAATTTCCCTTGGGGATGGGGAATCTACCAGGTTCTGGCTAAACCATTGGTTGCCATGTGATGGTAATCTGTTAGATAAGGTCTCTGTCAGTTTCCCTGAGGAGTTTCAACAATGGAAGGTAGCTGAATGTGTTACTAATGGAGAGTGGGAGTGGGATAAATTCAGTCCTTATCTTTCGGATGAAGTTCTATCAATTATTGCTGATGTAATTCCCCCTTCCAGCAGTGAGGGTCGAGATAAGGTTAATTGGAAATTTTCCAGCTCTGGAATGTTTTCAGTTAGCTCAGCTTACAGGGCTTTGACTGCTCGGACTATCACATCTAATTCTGTGGATTGGGAGTTGGTTTGGAAATGGGAGGGCCCCCAACGTGTCAAATTCTTTCTTTGGTTGTTTGTTGGTAACAGGTTGCTCACTAATGCAGAGAGGCAGCGTAGGCATATGACAGAGGCAGCTGCTTGTCCTAGATGTCAGTTCCCTTTGGAAGATGCTGATCACATTTTCAGGAGATGTCCATGGGCTCAGGAAGTGTGGAAGCTATGGGTGGACAGAGATGGATTGAATTCTTTTCTCAGCTTGAGCCTAACTGATTGGATTCTGGATAACATAAAAAAGAGGCATCACAATGGAGAGTGGAGTGTGAAATTTGGAGTTATCTGCTGGTACATATGGAAGGAGAGGAATAACTTGATATTCAATGATAAAAGATGCTCTCCCCAGGAGTTGTTCTCCCAGGTATCTGTTTTTATTGGTGATGTTTTATTGGCTACGAAAGTCTTATCTGAAGCTGGACTGGCTCTAGTTAAATTCAAAGAGATATTGGTTAGATGGAAGGCCCCTCCTAGTGGGTGGATCAAAATTAACTCTGATGGTTTTTGTAAGGACGATGGTAATAGACTTGCGTGTGGGGGAGTTATAAGGGATGAATGGGGCCATTGGATTATGGGCTTTGTAAGGAAACTGTGGCCAAGCTCTGTGCTTTTAGCTGAATTGTGGGGAATATATACAGGTTTGGATTGGGCTTGGGAGTCCGGTTTCAAGCAGGTTATTGTGGAGTGTGATTCGAAGATGGCTCTCCATTTGGTGGAAGAGGGATGTAATAGCTCACATCCCTGTTTTGAGATTGTGAATAGAATCAAAATCCTTATGTCTAAATGCTGGAATTTGGAGCTGAGCCATGTCTATAGAGAAGGCAATCAGTTGGCGGATTGGCTGGGTACTTATGGTGTGCTTCCAAGTTGGGAAGTCCTTTGGCTGGTTAGTCCCCCACTAGGGTGCAGGAGTTTATTGGAGAATGATTGTATAGGCACTGAGGTGCCTAAATGGATTAGTGATTAGTTTGTCTTTTTCTGTTTTCCTTGTAATTCAAAAAAAAAAATTCATAAAATTTCATCACTAATAAAAAATTTTCTTGTAGTCCACGGGATTAGAAATGAAATTCTAATTATATAAGAACTTGAACCCAAAATTTTATTTAAGCGAGATGAAACATATACCACTTCAACTAACACCCTTTGATTAATAAGGACCAATATATGATATTAAGTATCGAGGCCATTCCATAACATGATCGATAGTTATTGATATTTTTAAAAAAAAATTTAAATGAGAACTTTTCATCTAAATCAATATTACAAAAATAAAAAATGTGCTTATTACAAATACACACATCACACAAATAATATAAGAATTAAACCAGTAAATTATTAATAAGTATTTATTTTAACCCTCCAAAAGACATTTATGTTAGTCATCATAGTATAGTTATACCAAAGTAATCCTTCAATGTGAAAAAAGGATCGGTTGATATTTGAAAGGTCATAGAGAGATAAACAAACTCCAAGAGCTACTTTGAATGTTGTTCAGAGCTATACTATGAATTAAGAACCAAAAAGCACTGCATCAAACAGTGTTTGACGCTTGGATGTTGCTCGGATCTGTAATAAATTAACCAAAGACTTTAATGTTATAACTATGTATTACTAATAATACATAATTATAAAGGGTAGCTCTATATATTTAAAGTGGTTATAGAAATGTTTACCCCTATATATATATATATATATATATATATCTTTGACACTGGTGTCAAATTTGAAATTTGACACCTCATCTGAGAGCCGTTAAATCAAAAAAGATCAACGGCTCTGATTTGTAAGAATGTGACACCATTGATCTTTTTTGATCTAACGGCTCTTTGATGAGGTGTCAAACTCATATATATATATATATATATATATATATATATATATAAAGGGAATAATGTTGTAGGAAAGTTATTAGGTTATGTTATAGAGATAGGGATTGTGGGACCCACACTTGTTTTCAAAAAACAAAAAAACAAAAAAATTGCGGGTCCCACAATCTCTATCTCTATAACATAACCTAACAACTTTCCTACAACATTATACTTCTATTTCCCATATTTAAAACTCTTACAAATTACATTATCTTCTCCCGAAAAACACTAGTTATACTATGTTTTCCCGGAAAAAAATAGTGTAATTTGTAAAAATTTGTAAACGAATATTTCTCATATATATATATATATGGAAAAAAATATTTGTCATTTTAAATGACAGAAAGTTATGTCATTTTAAAAGAGATACAGATATAAAAAATTTGAATTTTAAATTAAAAAAAAACTATCTACTTTCTCTTTTCTTTTTATTCTGACCGGCTGTGGTTGTTGGAACTGTGGAACGTAGAGTTTGGAGATCCACAACCAGAGGACGAGTAACGAGGTTGGTGTTGTTGTTGGTGTTTGATGGCACGCACTACACTCTCACACGTGGTGCCACGTAACGCGTTTACTTGCTAATAAACATGAAATTCCTCAATTAACCTTCCGCATGTAGCTTGAACTTTGAAGTCATCGAGTCTTTTCATTTTCTCACCAACCCCCTAAACAAACTTGTCCATCTTTCTTTCTTCACTTTCAATTCTTGGGGTTGGTTGTTCAATGCATTACTCTTCCACCAAACTCCCCCCCCCCCTGGACATTCTTTCAATGATTCCAACCATGTTTCACACAAAGACAACCTCTTCATAATTTTCCATTATTCATGTTTTCAACTTGATGAGTTTGTGACACTGAATTTAAATCTTTCATTCATGGCTGCTACAAATTCAGCTCCACCCCTGTTGCATTTCTCACCAAGGAGGAGGTTTTCAACCTGTTCCTTGGCACCCCATTTGAGTTTTATCAAATTTAGGAAGACCCAGTTGGGATTTGAGTCTATAATCTCAACAAAAAAATTGGAATGGAAGGACCGCAGAGGAAGAACAGAAGAATGGCAGAACAAGACAAGGAGAAAATGGGGAGTGAGGTGCACTGCAGAGGGTATAGATGGAGGGATGCTTATGGGAGGGAGAGCTAGAGAAGATTGTGTTGGTGTTGGCATTAGCATCCCAGAGAGGTTGAAGGTGGTGTCTTTGGTTGCTTGTGTTATGTGCCTGTGTAATGCTGACAGGGTTGTCATGTCTGTGGCTGTTGTTCCACTAGCTGCCAAACATGGTTGGTCCAGTTCTTTTCTTGGCATTGTTCAGGTAATCCATATCACTCCAAAACTTTTATGATCACAGATAAAGGCAACTGACACAAAAAGTGAGGACAATTGTAATCAATTACTTGAAAAGGAACAGTATTTATCTAAAAGGAACCAAATCATTATATTAATTATTAATTTAGTTCATAGTTATTGGCCAAAACAAAATTTAAAAAATTGGAAGAATTTGTTCAATAACAATTCTCAAATTGGTTAGTAGTTCCTTAAACATAAATAATTTCATTTGTGTGTCCTATAGATATAATCTCTTTTTAAACCAATTTGTTTTGTGTGCATTTGTTTGTGGTGGAGCCACTGGCTAACTTAAAGCTCATACTTCATGCATTATCAGTCATCTTTCCTGTGGGGTTACATATTCTCTTCAGTGATTGGAGGAGCTTTGGTAGATAGATATGGAGGAAAGAGGGTGATGGCTTGGGGTGTGCTTTTATGGTCTTTGGCAACTCTTCTTACACCTTTGGCAGCCAATCACTCCACGATGAGCTTGTTGGCTATTCGTGCTTTCTTTGGATTAGCTGAAGGAGTGGCTCTTCCATCCATGAGTACTCTCTTATCAAGGTGATGCCTCCGGAATCCTCTTGAACATAAATATTTAGCTATCTCAGTTGCACACCTGCGAAACCAATTATTAAAGATTTGAGCATATGAATCTTGTTTTATTTGGTCAATAAAAATTGGTTTTTGCTTGTTTGCCTAACCTTTCTTATTGTCAAGCTTTTCCTTTCTTGTTAATATTGAAGAAAGAGCTCAAGGTCTTACTAATAGGCTTCTCTTATTACCATCTTCTTGTTGCGGATGCAAAGCTAGTTCTATACCATTTCAAAGTTAATATAATCTTCATGTTTGAATAGGTGGTTTCCAATTAATGAAAGGGCAAGTGCAATTGGAATTTCAATGGCGGGATTTCATCTTGGAAATGTCATAGGCTTGTTGCTAACACCAATTATGTTGTCCACCATTGGACTTTTTGGTCCTTTTATCTTATTCTCATCTCTTGGGTTGCTCTGGGTGATGACATGGGCATATCGAGTTACAGATGATCCTTTGGAAAGTAATTTCATCAGCAGATCAGAAATAAGATTAATCCAAGCTGGAAAATCTGTTTCTCAGAAAAAAAGTAGCAAATTCCCTCCTCTACGCCTTCTGCTATCAAAGTTACCATCATGGGCTATAATATTTGCCAATGCAACTAACAACTGGGTGAGTTCTATTTGCTTTTGAATGAAGATAACAACTTGCTATCATAAATCCAATTTCAGGAATCACTAATCTTGGCCTTGCTTAATTTGCAGGGGTACTTTGTTCTCCTCTCATGGATGCCGGTTTATTTCAAAAGCGTAATTACTTTCTTAACTTGTTCTTAATATTTAAATCAAAGAACAACTTTATATATTTACTTCTTATGCTGTTTGAAAAATATAATGGGGATTACCTACAAAGTAAATAGCTGTTGATTTCTTCATGCTTATTCATTTCAACTATGCCATGCTAAAGTAAATAGCTGACACTATTCATTAAAAATTACAGTCAATTCAGGTGGTTGGGAAGCATTTCAGGTTAATGATGGTAGTAATTTTTGAAAGTTAGAAGTGAACTGGAATTCTTTTTCTTCTCCTCTTTGTTTATTTCTGTTTCTGAGGGTTGAACCTGTGCAAAAATTATTGATATTCAATTTCTCATAATGCTTGAAGCCTTGGAACATTCAATCATGACTAATTTTTTCTCCTTTCTGTAGGTATATAATGTGAACTTGAAGCAGGCAGCTTGGTTCAGTGCAGTTCCCTGGGCAACTATGGCAATTTCAGGTTATCTAGCTGGTGCTGCATCAGATTTCTTAATCAATGAAGGGTACCCTACAACATTGGTTCGAAAGTTCATGCAGGTAACTTTTTCAGCCATATCATGCGGAAAGAAGTATTTATATACTGTTTGCCAGTTTTAGGCATAAGGACTAATTGGAATGCTTGATCAAATGACCATTGAACAAACAAAAATTAACTAGCCAAAAAGGAAGAAACATCATTAAGATTGTGAGAACTCTGGATAACTTTTTCGTTTTAAAGCAACTAGAGACCAATATCAAAAGGAATTCATATTAATGGTGGAGACTATTTCCTCATTCATGTTGATTTTAGTGGAGGGCAAGCCTCAAGTAGCGAAAAAACCATTCCTTTGTGACTGAAAGGTCACGGGTTTGAATTTGAGAAACAACTTCTTTGCAAATATGCAAGGATAAGGCTGCATACAAGAATTACTCTCACCTCACCCTTCTAGTCGGGATTAAATGGGGAGTGATTATTATTATTTTCTTATGTTGATTTTAGTCATATATGTTAAGTGCAAGTGGTCATGCAAATGCAATAGTAATATGGTTCATACTTGGTAAATTACAGACTATTGGATTCATTGGGCCAGCAGTGACCTTGCTCTGCTTGAATTATGCCAATACACCTACAATTGCTGCTACACTCTTGACTGCAGCTTTGAGCTTGAGTTCTTTCAGCCAAGCTGGTTTTATGCTCAATATACAAGTAAGTTCAGCCCACTAAATATCTACATACCCTAAAACTTAAAAAAATTATATTTAAGACATTTTAGATGAACTTACAAATATATTGGTAAGACCTTAACCTCACACCTTTCACATTTTACATGATCAGGACATTGCTCCTCAGTATGCAGGAATTCTACATGGTAAGAAACTAAGCAAATGTGTTATAAGGAATGCCATTTTTTTTCTGTCCTTTTACTTTTTCATAGTGGTTCTTTCTTTAACAAAACTATTATTACAGGAATCTCAAATTCAGCTGGGACTTTAGCAGCTATCATAAGCACAATTGGAACTGGTTATTTTGTACAATGGCTGGGATCATTTCAAGCATTCTTAACTGTAACAGCATGTCTCTATGTTGTGACAACCATTTTTTGGAATCTTTTTTCCACAGGGGAGCAAGTTTTGTGACTTCTTCCCATCAAAAGCACGAGAAAAAATTTAGTTATCTTCTACAAGAAATGAAAGAATAGCATTTTTTCTTACCAAAAGGAAAAAAATATAATATTTTCAGCCTCTATCAACCCTTTGGCCAGGGAAAAAAAGTGAGAAGATTGTATAAAAAAAAATAAATAATTACTTGTACAAATATGTGAACTGTGTCCATATAATCTTTAGACCATTCGGAAAATTTTATAGTAGAATTATGTTGTTCCTCAGCAAGTTGCATGAAAGTATGTGAGGAATGTTTAGGTGTTTGTATAAGTATCGTTGCCTATACTTTATATGATATAATCAAGGGTTTCAATTTTCTCATGCAGTATTAGAAATTTTTTTCATGCTATAGATACATCTTATGTGGGGTCCACACTATTAAAAAATAAAAAACAAAAGGAAATATTGCACGAAAATAGCTGTAAAAAAAATCTATATATAATAATGTAGATTTTTATAAAAAAAATAAAATAAGGAAAAAGTAAAATATAAAGAATAGTTCGAAGAGTTACTAATAGGAGAAGACAACTCTCCTATAGCATAAGAAAATATTTTTCCTATAATTAATTACACATAAGGTTTCCTAAATTCATGAAATGTATCTACTGCCACATCTGTTATATTATGGACCAAATTGCTTAAAATGGGGCAGTGTTTTATTGATTTAAACTTACTATTGTATATTATTAATAATGTTAAATATGTTTTTCTGAAAAAATACATATTAATTGTTAACTTTTTTATGTATGTTATAATAAAAATATTTTTAAGATATATAATTTTAGTTTTAATCTTATAAAATTAAGTTAGCCTTTCAGCACAAAATTTAGAAAGGCATAAGTTCAAAAACATTATCAAAAAAATATAATTTATCTACATATTGATAGTAAGCTTTGAAAGTTATCTCCTTAGAATACTTAGAATACAGCATATGGATGTGGCCTTCATTTATTTTTCGAATGTTTTCCACTAAATGAGCAAAAAGTGTTTGTTTATATGAGCTCAAAATTATGGACAATTAAGTCTTATGTTATATGTAATAGGATCCGTTCTAGGTTGTTGTAAAACAAAGTACATTTTACCCACTATGCCATTTTTTCCCCGGAAAATTTTCCACAATACAATGTAGGATTTTGTTTTGGTTTTTTTTTTTTTTTTTTTTTTTGTGTGTGTGTGTGAATAGGATTGTGGTTCGTTATTATTTAACGAGTCTCCAATGTCGAAGTTGTTTTCTATCAATATATGATAAACATATTATGTCCACCTTACTCTGCTAACTCCTTATGAAGTATTAAAGTCAATTGAAAACTTTGAGAGTGCATTAAGAATATTACAACTGTAATATTTCAAAATAATAATAATGAATAAAATGTAAAATACCTTAGATCTTTGAGATAATAATAATTAGTTTTAAGATTTTTATAAAAGTAATAATTAGATTCCTTAAATTCTTATAAAGATAATGATTAATATTCCTTTTTGAAATCCTATATAAACTCCCCTTCTCCCAAGAAACCTAGGCATAAGAGGGACATTGACCAAACTGCCACCCTTTAATAAAAATTTACCGAATTGTCACGCCAGAAAAAAATTGCCAAAATGCCATGTCACAATCCCGCTGATCTAACAAGCGGGAATGAACTGGACACGTGACAGCGTTTGAATGGTCAACCATTCTAGCTGAGCAGCCCAGCGCGAATGACAAAATGCTGACACGTGACAAAAATACAGGCATTCTCTGCAAAAGTACATACTGCTTGTACTTTTACCACGTGTCAGCATTATGTTATTCGCGATGGGCTGCTCAGCTAGAATGGTTGACCATTCAGACGCTGCCACGTGTCCAGTTCATTCTAGCTTGTCAGATCAGCGAGATTGTGACGTGACATTTTGGCAAAAAAATTTCTGGCGTGGAAAACGAATAAATTTTTGCCTAAAAAGTGGCAATATGGTCATTGTCTCGGCATAAGAAGAAAGGAAAGAGAGTGAGAAGGAAAGAAAGAGGAATATAAAGAGGAAGAAGAAGGTAGAAGAAAAAGAAAACAGAAGGTAATATTGAGAGTAAAACCTCATTCTCCTATTTTCATTTATCTTCTTTTATTTTATATTTAAAGTTGGTATTTTAAAATTATTTCTTTAAAAGTTGTGAAAGTGTCCTTATTCTGTCCAAATATTTTTTTATGCATCTCTTCTACTCTTTTGGTTTATTTGCTATCTTTGATTTTATGAATTTAATTAATTAATTTATATTGGTTATAAGAATGATTTAAAATCAAGACCATAGAACTAATGAATTTCTTTGGTAACAAATAGATATTAACGGAATATGTAATCTTTTACTGAATGATTCTGATGTGAATGACCCAGAAGGGAATCAGAATGATTATAGGGTAAGGGACGCCTTATCATGGCTTGAGCTCTGCCATACAGAACATTTCACATGCAGAACCCACATAATTTGAGCTCTAACAGAACTGAACATTAGTAACTTCAGTTAAAGATTACATGTTATTCTGTGAGAATGATATTTTTTACTAAAGTGGCTGGATTGGTTATAGTTCGAAAACCCCAATATTACTGAGATTTATCTCACGTTTGTTTTTTTTTTATGCTAACCTTTCCAGAATAAACAGGCCAGTATGCGTAGCTCAGGAGTAAGGTAAAGCAGTATGGTTAAATACATTGAAGACTATACGGAATTCAGTGAAGCAACTAATAGAAATAAAAAAAAATTCTTTACAGTTTAGATTATGATGTATTTCTGATGTAATAGTAAACTCGACTTTTGTATAATTCAATTTTAAGAATATTTTGTCATATGCCTTGTTTTATATCCGTTACGTTAGAATCTCATTATAATTCTCGTTCTCTTAATTAAAATAAGATTTTAAGAATTAATATGATATCCTCGGTGCTAGTCAGTTGTAGAGGATATTATATTTTATGGTATCAGAGCAGTGGTTTAAGTAAATAAAGTACCTAAATTATTATAGTTGTTTGGTATTTTGTCTTAGATCATGCATATTTTGAATTATTTAGTAATGAGCCTGATCAACTCACTACCATGAAACAATATATGTAGATCTATAGTATATACAAGGCAGACATCTTCAACTTTTGAACCAAAAGTTAACCTAGTAACTGATGCGTTTACCCAAGTGGCAAAAGCTCTTAGTGAACAGATTGTAACTAATCAACAAATTATTCAGGAGCTGAGGGAGGATCGTGCAACCAGAAATCACACCCATAATTCTGAAAGTGAAAGTAGACCTAGAACTGAAAATACTCAGGGAGGACCTAATTATGATTACAAAGGACTCACAAAATTTTGTAAACATAAACCTTCCACTTTTCGTGGAGATTATAACCCTGAGGCAGCTATGGAATGGGTGAAAGAACTTGAGAAAATATTTCTGATAATGGATTGTCCTAATACTCATTGTATAAATTTTGTCACATATCTGTTGATTGAAGAAACATAATATTGGTAGACAAATATCAAAAGATATTTCCATAGCCAAGGAACAGAGATAACTTGGCCGACATTTAAAGATGCCTTTTTGGAAAAATATCTTCCTCAATGTGTAAGAAACAAAAAAAAATAGAATTTTTTGAACTGAAATAAGGGAATATGACTGTTGGTGAATATGTAGCAAAATTTGAAGAACTATCTAGATATTCTAATTATGTACAAAACTAACCTAATGAGGAATGGTTGACTACTAAATTTGAATCTGGACCGAAACCTGAATTAAAAAGTATGATAATAGGACACCAAATCATCATTAATAAATAGGTGAAGAGATATTGAAGCAAGTATGAAGGAGGCTGAGGAAACAAGGGAGAAAGACATAGCCTCAAATCAGAGAAGGAATGATGACAACAACAAAGGAAGATTTCCACGGGCACAAATCTCGAGAAATAATTTTGCTAGCAATGGATAGAGGAAGAATGCGGGTCGGACGAATTTCCAGATTCAGGTATGTCCCAAATACAAGAAAAATCATGTTGGATAATGCGTGGCAAGAAGAAGTGTGTGCTTTAAGTGTGGCAAGCCTGGACATATGTTGAGACAATGCCCTCATAATCAAGTCAGAATTCATCAAACCAACCTACAGCAAGAGGAAGAGTTTTCACCCTAAGTGGTTAGGAAGTGGCTCAAGCTTCGGACTTAGTTCAAGGTACGAGCTTAATACAAGATTCTCTTATAACTGTACTTTTTGATTCTGGGGCTACTCATTCTTTCATCTCCCTATCTTCTGCTCAAAAGTTAAAATTACCAATTTTTATTTTACCTTCTTATCTTGAAATATTTCTTCCAACTGGAGAAAAGATAACCACATCTCAAGTCTGTAGAAATTGTCCTCTTCAACTTGAATGAAAATTATTTGAGATAGATTTAGTTTGCCTGCCTATGATTGATATAGAAGTGATTCTTGGTATGAATTGGTTGTCTGCTAATTGTGTGGTCATTGATTGTCATAATAAAAATATAATTTTCATAAAAGAGTCAGAACTTCCTAATGAATCTTTATTCTTGTCAACTTCCCAACTTAGGAAAAGTTTGTTAGATGGAACACAAGGATATGTTCTCTTTAATCTTTCAGAAGCAAAGACTAAACCTGATGCAGCCAATATCCCTATTATCTCTAAATACTCAGAGGTTTCTTCGAATGAAATTCTAAGTTTACCCCCAAACAGAGAAATTGAATTCTCCATTGACCTAATACCTGGAGTAGGGCCAATTTCTATTGCACCTTATAAGATGTCACCTGTAGAGCTTGTTGAACTAAAGAAACAATTAGAGAAACTTCTATCAAAGCAGTTCATTAGGTCAAGTGTGTCACCTTCAGTAGCACCAGTGCTCTTTGTCAAGAAAAATGATGGAAGTATAAGATTGTGTGTGGATTATAGGAAACTAAACAAAGTCACCATTAACAATAAATATCTTTTGCATTGGATAGATGACCTCTTAGATTAGTTGAGAGGAGCCAAAATGTTTTCTAAAATAGATTTAAGATCAGAATATCACTAGATCAAAATTACGACTGAAGATATTCCAAAGACAGTCTTTAGGACTAGGTACCTAG